ACATTTTTCACACACGTTTGCATCACTTCTTACTGGTAAAGCTTATTTTCTCTCAGTCACCGTCCTTTTCCTTTTCACAGACACCAACACCTTCCTCGATGAGGAGCAGCTGTGCAGGATCTGAAACAAGGCTACCAACTGGTTTTAAAATTCCCAATAAATATTCAATAAATAATTAAACTTCTTATGTGCAAATCCATGGTTAAAGTGATAAAGTAAGGGAGTCCTCTTCCTTACAGCCGGCGGGTGTCTGCTACGGTTGGGACCGGGTCCAGCCCAGAACTGTTTACCTCAGCTGTCAATGCTGGGTGAGAAACATCCACCTTGAATTACTCTGTCAGACTCTGAACGGGGTTCAGGTCGGTCTCAGCTGGAGTACAGGGAACTACACCTGACTTTCACATTTTGAGTGGAATAAAGCCATTTAATCACCATTTAATCATCAAATGTGTTACTGAATTATTGTTTCTGACCAAACCTGAGGAAGCAAAAATTAACAAAAGGAAAAAAGACCAAGGCTCAGAGGAAACTGATGAGAACGCGACCAACAGGCAGAACGGGAGACTGGCAAAATAATCCCTCACAAAAGTAACGCAGGCCAGTTATTGTAATGGAGCGTCAGTAACACTGAACTGTGTTTCATGTGCACCTGGATGAACCTTCCTTCAGTGTGTAACACTAGCACCACTAGGAAGTTTTTCACTCATTTAATGCTGTTTATATAAATCTGAATCTCCACTGAAATGAGTTTATTTCTAGGCCGTCTCAATTTCCCCGTGAGAAACTCGGATGCTGCTAAAAAACCTGACGCCATGAGAAGCATGCAAAGTAATAAGTGTCCTGGTCCTGTTTCCCTAGAAAAGTGTCAGGATAAACTGTTCCCAGTACTGCTCACAGTGTATAAGGAATCCTTGCATCACGGCAGCCTCAGAGTCCATTTCTCTAAATCTATCCAGCGTCATCACTGCGACAAAGCCACGCTCCATCGGACAACTTGACACGTTCTTCTCTTGCTCACTACTCGCTCGCTTTTGGCAGAATTATTTCGGTACCACGTCAAAGATCCTTTCAGTGACCTTCCCCCATGGTGCCATATTTTGGCTCCCAGTTGACTACAACTGGTTTACCTCTAACCAATGAAACATTTTGGCGTTTATTTCCTTACTGGCAAGACGTCGTCTTCTCCTTCAGCAGAAGTCTACTAAGCTCCCTCCAGCACTCAGTGACACCACGTCTAAAATTGGAGAAGATTAGATATTCAGTGAA